GGACCTATAACAAGTGTCTAGTGTCCTCTAGTTTGGTAGTGTAAAAATAGATGGTCATGGTAACATTTATGGCATTAACTGAATATTAGGATGAATTGGCATTTTTGTATGAGTTTTCCCTTGATTGAAGGTCCTTTCCTCTTATGGTATAGCTTGAAGCACTCGTTTAAGCAGATCATTGAGCCTAGTAACCTCTCCTTTTAGACACTTTATATCTGTTTGGTTGCTTTGTTCTTCTATATGTGATATCTCTTCGTTTTCCATTTTTAAAACTTAAATAAATAAATTTATAAATGAATACAAAATATGGATTGATTATGCATGCTTGTTATTTTTCAAGTTTTTTATTATATTGGGACTACTAGGACAAACTAGGTAAAAGATTTTTGAAAATTTTTCCCTAGGAACACCGAACCCATAAAAATTTTAGCTGATTTGAAGGAGTATTTGCCAATAAAGAAACAAATTCTTAGTAAAGAATTCTCTTATAAGAATTTGTTTAAACATAAATCAAACATCATATATCAAACAAGCTATTGGATGTCTGAAAGTGACATAATATTTTTTTATTAATTCAAAATAACATTTTACAAAGCTTATACAATACAAACTTGTTCTAAAAATTGTTTTCCTATACAAAGTTGCTTTGCTCATTCTTTCCACACTTTTATAACCCATATATGCTATGACTTTGTTAAGGCAATCTCGAATTTAACCAAGTTAATGTAAAAGTTTATCTTTTGAAGCTAATTGACCCTTTGCTACATGTTGAGTTATGTCTTTCAATCTTATGGTATAATTACCTAAAGCTTCATCTAACATGTTATAGCACATGATTTCGGAAGCCTAACGAGGTGCCTTTTTTTGTAGCATCTCTCTCATTAGTTAAAGTATGCTTGATTAAGTCAAATTTCTCACGCTAACTAATTAACTCTTAAAATTGCTTTTTTATTTCTTTATTTGAAAAACCTTAGATGTCCATCCAATTATGTGATTAATTTTGCATGGTGCTAATGTTGTTCTTGTAAAATCGCTTTTGGTTGCTCCAATTAATTTATCTTAATTTTGGCATATGTGAGCTTAATCTGCCTTTTCTTTTCCATAATTTTCCTCCTCAACTACTAATATTATTTGCACTATTTCTACTACCCTATGGTCTAATTTCTTTTTGGCTTCTGATATAATTTTGAGTCTTGTTTAATGTCCTTTAAAGGCATGTTTTTATTATTATAATTGGGTCAATAAGTCATTTATTTCTCTTTCCATGATGATAAGTGTCTACTCCCAAGCTGCAAGATTGACCTTAATTTTTTCTTTTTGGCACCCAACTCCTCCTAGTATGAGTTTAGAACCAAATTGTAGACTCTTATTATGCTCAAATCTCCTTAGTAACATCTTTCAAAGTTTGAGTCATTAATCTTTATAGACCCTCAAAAGGTGAAACCTAGAACCCTTTCTTTCTAGTCTTTTGTTATATTAAATCATAAGAGCAACCTTTTCATCAACTTTTCTAGCAGTTGTAACCATATTAGGATGCTTCCAAGTTCATATTAATTCTAGTAAGTTTTTCTAAACTCTAAATTCTTCATAAAATTAAACCAAACTAGTGGACCATAGTAGGGCGATAATTAATACATCATCAAGCTCCAACCAATAGAACCTATGAATAATAACCATAATATGCAATCTAGGATCAGAAATAGGCATATCATGTTTTTAAGAGAAATGAAGATTTGCTTATGCTTAAAAGCATTAGTTTCCAAATAGTCTTCCTCAACATTTTTATTAAAAGCTCAACAAATTTCTCTAATTTTAAGTATAAATTTCATGGTGTCCTAAATAAACCTAATATCATACCTTCTATCATGTGGCTTATTATCCAAACAAACAACAACTATATGCAACATCTCAAATGGTCCTTTTCTCTAGCTTTTATATAGTGATTCAAAAATGAGAAGGTCTTGACTAATATTGTTATTGTTCCATTAATTTTAAGAGCAACTACACTCTTAAACATATTGATGTCTTTAAAGTCTATAATTCCTTCAACTGATAAAAGAAAAGGGTTAAATCATAAATGCCCAAAGCTAAAATCCTTCAACGACTTTCATTTTCTTCACTAAATAATCTCCTATTAAATGCGAGTTCCTTTATCTTCTAAAACCAACTCTAACTTATAATTTAACTTGGTCAACCATGTATAATTTAACAAAGCTTGTTCTCGAGGCATATATTAGTATGACAAATCTAATTTTAGACAACCCAAAAAGAATCATATTATTCAAGAGTGGGGTCTTGTACAAATCATCGAATGTAAAATATTGTACTATAAGTCCCAAAACCCTATTATAGCTTGAAAACATGAGGGTTATACTTGGATTTTAAGCAATTAAGTTATGTCTCCATATCATTTTTGAAAGTCAATCTAGTCTTGTAAGGATAACATCTCCTGACAATCAAATATTTGACTAACATTAAACATCCTACCTTTTAGCTTTACTCACTATGATAATTTAGACTAAAACTTCATTCGTAGGCAATCCACCTTATCATATAGGCCTTTCTAATTTCCTGTAACATGGAGTAATAGTAAGGTCCTTATCAACATTAATGAATATAATATGTCATGATAAGATTTGTGTTTTATCGAGGGTCAATTCTAGCGAATATAATTTCATTCATGTAAAGTTGTCTCAGCTAGTCTATCCCTAAATAATTTTTATGTTCCTAGATTTTCTGAACTACTAGTGGAGTAACACGACCACTTATCCTTGTGCAATATACGTAAAGGGAGTAGCTCTATGATACCATGTACATGAGATGAGTTGGATTTTAAGGAAGTCCACGATGAGCATTAATGAACATAAGTTATATTTGACATCTAAATCTCCTTATTTAATCCTAAAAAAGGGTCAAGCTTATGTCCAAAGCTTTTTTTAGTTTTGTAAAGTGTGTAAAAACTTAAAAAATAATATGATTGCATATTCAATCCAACAAACTAAAATAAATATAATAAAATAAAATTAAACAATATAAATAAAATAAATGCTAAAAAATAAGTGATGATAAAGAAAATAAGAGAAATAAACTAATAAGAAAATACATATATTCAGGTTTAACCCTAATATCCCAGTGGAGTTACCATGTTATCGTATTTGACATAAAATGGAACCTCCAAAATTAAAGGGATATGGAAAATAAAGTCATCACCTAGTTATTAAATGAGACTAAAAATTATAAAATATATAGCTCTAGATGAGTAAGGGGTTTTTATGCTTAAGAAAAGATAAAAATAATTGTTATTGCATCCTTTCTAAGAAAAGGTTATCTTATCCATGTGCTACTTCTAAATTTATTTTTACACATGTCATCACTATCCAAATTATTTTATAAACTTATTCCAAGTCATTTATTATTGATGGATGCTTGTTTAGTTAATATCAGACCATGGATTAAGAGTATTGTAACTTGATGAGCTTTTAGTATTTTATTTTTATTTAATATTTCTTGACCATTTTTACTATTTTTTTCTAGAAACAAAAATTGGATAGAATACTACATTTGACTCATATCAATCTCTACTTAAAGAAGACTTGCAGACCTATTATTTAACATATTTTTTTTTATATAAATAGCTCATTAGGCGTACATCAATCCATAAAACTAGAAGACAAATTGATCCAACCATTAAAATCTAAGTTTGATTCAAACATGATGCTAACTCGAAGAAGACATGTTGATTCATTATTAAACTTATTTTAAGGTTAAACATTATGCTAGGTCTATGTCAGTTTAAAAACTACGAAACATGTCTACATGTTAAAAGCCAAGCTTAATAATATAAAATCAAAAAGAACATGACGTTAACTTGACGAAAGCTAATTGAAGTTACTTTTCATTATTTTTTTAAAATAAATATTTACATGCACATATATATATAAAAAAAAGAAGACATAATTTTACCAAATATAAATAACATCAACAAAAGTAAATAAAAAAAATACAATGAAGATGTTTGGATAATAGTCAACATGCATTAATTGTAACATGTGCAAAGACTTGAGGAATGAAAAAAAAGAGAAGGAAGAAGGCTTGGCTTACATTAGGACTAGTTCTAAACAAGGGAGGAGTTGTTTTGTGCCTACTTGTGTCAAAGATGATAGTTGTCCTACGGTGAAGAGGTTTTCATATTGTTTTTTCTAACTTGGGTTTCTTCGTCTCTTTGGTTTTTCTTCATTTTTTCTTTTATTTTTCTTTCAATCTTTTTTTTTTTTTAATTTCCTCTTTAACTTCCTAGTTAAGATCACCTTCATTTTCTACCTAAATGTCTGTTTTTTTTTCTTTTGGTTTTGATTTTTTTCTCCTTTTTTCTCCCTCACCTCTTGGCTCACTTCTCTCAACTTAACTCTTATCTCCTTCTCTCTTTATCTCAGTATTTTCTCTCAAACTTGGTTCCTCTTGTTTCTTGCATTTCTCTTTATTTATAGGAAAGGATAAAAAATTTAGAACCTTTTTTGGTGGTGTAATTATGTCCATTTTCTTTCTCTCTAACCTGGTTTCTCTTGTTTCTTGCACTTTTTTTCCTACTTTTAGTAAGGATGAAGCATTTTGATGTAATCATGTCAATTGGTTTCTTTGAATCAATCTTAACCCTCTACCATGGTTCAACATTCTGGTTCCAATTTTAGTTTTTAGCCTTTTATACCATTTACACCACGCTCCAAAAGATCAGAGTTTTTTAAAAAATTTTGAGTATATAGCACTCTTGTAGGGGGTGGAGTGCTGTGTTGTTTGGAATTTCTAGGAGGCGCGAGAGAAGAAAAGAAAAGGGCTAAAGCATGGCTAAAACCATGAAAAACATATGAAAAAATGCCGGCAGCCAACACGTGATGAAGGGTACTGTTTTGCTCCCATGCACAAAACATCATTTCTGGCTTAATCTTCTTCTTTTTTTCTTTTTCTGGGATGCGAAACAAAGTGATTTCACTTGAAAAACATTATTTGACTTAAAGTGAACAGGCGTCGTTTTGACTCAAATAAAGAATTCATGTTTCCGAGGATTGTTAAACATGAGAAAATCAACACTTCCCAACCAAAAAAAAGAGAGAGAGAGAGAAGAAGCAGAACTTTACTGTAACAATATTTCGCAATATACTTCAGATTGTTGTTTCTCCCTATATATATATAGATTGATTATCATGTATAATTGCATTAGGTCAGTAATCTCCTCTCCTGCTGCTAACAAGATCGCCAACAAAGCTGTCCTCGTCGTTTTCACACTCTTCCAATAAATTCTTGCGAGAAGGATCATAAGCAACAACTAATCGCAGATACTTGACAGCCTCAGCCTTTCGACCTTCCCTACTTAGAGCACTGAAACAACATGACCAATCCGATATTTTATTGACAAACAAAATACTGGTTATGACTGGAAAATATAAACTGAAAGAAAAGTAATGGCAATGGAAATTTACCAACAAGTTCAGTTTTAACAAGCAAAAGATCAACTAGTTCCCACATTTTTTGTTCACCAGTAGGTTCATCTTTCCGATTTTTTTTCTTTTCCAAAATCAGTGCAGGCCCAGTTATATTTCTTAAAATACTATCTTAAATATAAGCGTCTCAACACACCCAATCAACTACAATCATCAGTTCAAAACTCCAAAGAATGATTAAGTGTTGTATTTTCTTTAAGAAATTGTAGACATTATCTTCTCGACAGAAAAACACAAGGGTTTCATTATTCTTTTAATAGGTACCACTTAACTATTAAGAGTTTTCACAGTTAATTATATGAATTTCAGAGACACCAGTACCCATATGTACTTGATATTAACAACTGTCTCTCTAAAGCATCAGCAGGCATTGTTTGCAAAACCTCTTAACTGCCTTATTATTTCTTTTTCTAGCGCAAGAACTAGACTATTGATATGTAAATATTGAAAAGCAATGCAAAATGATCTATGAGGAATGCTAACAATAGTTGCTTTGACAGCTGCTAGCGATGCTCACTGCTAGTCACTGAAGAAAATGATACTGGTAAACAGTTAATAAATTAAATTAAATTTATTATCGATCTGAAAGACCGAAAGAAAAATGAAGATTATCTTCAGTCTACCCCATCTACCACAACTGCTCTGCTATTCAGTATTTCTCCATCTAAAATTTGAAACTGACATTCACATCCATAATGTTTTTTTTTTCCCTAGATTGACTTCAATTTGAAATATCTTTTCTTTTGATAACAAATATGCAAAAAAACTTAATTCTTATTTGTGTGTTCATTGAAGACTTCAATTGGTCTCCAGATTACTACTGCAATTGGGGTTTGAAGGGGCCATTTTTATCCACTCTATAGACTTGAGTGTTTTTCACGAATTTAGCTGCTATATAAGGAAAAGCCTGAATCAGGTATGTTAATGATGATTGGATGAACGTGAATTTTGAACATTGAGAGTAGGAGTACGTGGTTCATTTGAGATTACGGGAAAGGAAAACCTGATTAAGTGAGCTGACAATAATCTTGCCTTTCAAGTCTCGACCAATTTGCTTTTGATACCACATTCTAATTCAAGGAGGCTATAATAACAAGTGTCAAAAAAACAAATTGAAAGAAACAGAACAAGACACTGGAAGTCAAAATCATGTAAAAAGTTGATGAAAGAAGCCAAAATCATCACTGCTACGGAATGATTTTCGTTGGAGATGGAAGTCAGTTGTTCAAGAGCTATTCTTTTTGTTAGATTTTAAGATGGGTCGAGTTCTTTGATGAGATGTTTCTTTCCGTCTTCTTTGCTTTTCAACTAAGGGTTTAACAGGTTTTCAGGTAACATTTGCGCACAGTGTCCTTATTAATCCAGTGAGTGTCGATAGCAGCTGTCCAAGCAACTGCTGCTAGCATTCCCCATGATCTATTTGTTGTCAATAACATGGTCAACTATGCAACATAGGCAAGAGATTTTGTCAGTACATAGACAGACACCTATAAACCAACTAGTGAATTATTAACGTGATGTAACTCTGAAGAGTTCAAATTACTTAGGCCATCCAAAAAAAGTCAGGAAGGAAGCGACAAAAGGAACAGCATTCTATAGATTTCTTCAAGGGTAAATTGATGACTTCATGTTTCAGAAGGTCTTTTAGCAAGTGTAAAAGAGGTTGACAGTTTTGCAAAAATAGTTAAAAAATGAATTTATTGGTCAATAAAAGAGATACTAGAACTTGTTTGTCTTTAACTAGTAAAATGGGAACCGATTGCTACTTGTACTACCGCAGCCACTAAATGAATGTCCTAATAGCTTTTTTTGGCAGACCAGTGTCCATTTTCCAAGTCTCAAGTATAATAATTACACAATTTCACTCAATTTGCCTTCATATCCTTTACCATTTTTCAAATTTACAGAAAACAAGAACATTGAACAATATAAATATAGTTAGGGGTAAAGGTTTTCTTATAATAAAAACCATTAATGTGTTTTTTTGTTCCTAAAAATCAGTGCAATCTCAATTAGGACATTTATTTAGGGACTAAGGGAGTAGCTCGGAACATAATAATTTTACAATTTTCCAAGCAGCATGTTATATATAGCTCAAATTCATACCTCGCAAGCAATAATAAACCATCGAAGTAATGGGCTTTGCTTTTAGGGTCCTCTGGTTCTTCTAGACTAGCCACCCTTTCTAGGTGCACAATTCCTTCGGCCTTATTTCCCTATGCCAAAAAAAAGGGGGGCAAGAGAGATGAAAACAAAGTGAGGCACATCATTTTTTTCGGGATACAGCTTCACCATCAAACATTTTAGACTGCCAAATGAACTCAAGTTCATGGAATTACTTACTGGTCACCATGTATACAGCTTCCTCAATCAAATGTATGCAGGGACAAGGGTGGGTATTACAAGAGAGTTTCAAATAAATCCAAGATGACTGGTCACTAGAGTGTAATGAATGAGAAGGAGGCAGTACAGAGGAAAAATAAGGAGGAAGACAGGTCCGTCCAGAAACACAAAGGTGAGTGGTGCCAACATCCCTTTTCAACAAAATTCATGATTTTATGACTGCATTTTACTTTAGAATAATCACAAAAGCATTAATGGTTTTCACCTGACTTATAAAGGCAACACCTGCCCATTGCAACGTAAGGATTAGATGATTGACATCTTCAGCTGTCGGATGGCCAACAAGAAAGAGCTGTAGGTATGTCCGAAAGAAGATGAAATTTGTGTCAGACATTATACAATATTATTAGAAGATTGCAAATGATGCAATATTATTAGAAGATTGCAAATGGTGATGCTTCTGTTCACAAACCGAAGAATGTAATAAGCTGCAAATGCATCCAGAAGATTGCAGCATATAATAAGACGTTTCTATAGCATGTGATGACTGGACACAACAGTGGCCATCTTCAAAATGGTGATAAACAGAACATTTAAATTGCAAGCTCTGGTGCAAGATAAAGGTTGAAAGGAAGAATGCGAGGTAAAATTACCTTGGAAATGGCACGCTCCAAATGGTCAGTAGCTTCTGCATGGAGTCCTTCTTGCAGTAGAGTATGCCCCATTACAATTAAAGCCTTTATGTGGTTAGGGTCCTTTTTAAGTGCCATTCTATAACCAATAGACAATATTATAAGCTGGCTTTGGGTTTATAAATTAAACATAAAGACCAAGGAATAAGCTGGTCATCTGAACTGAAAAAGGAAGAAGGAAACATCAAATTACTGCAACATAGAAATAGCTCTGCCTCTATGCCCACTGGATAACAATTGAACTGACAGCTGTCAACAGTGACAATAGGAAAATGTGAGAAAACTTGTAATATCTCCTAACTACAAATAATTTATTCACTTATTCGTCACCACTCACTACTAGTAGTTCATCAGGTGATAAATTTTCTGGCAAAACCTTGCGCCACTTTGTTGGTGAATCCAAAGACACTGATTCTGGTGTAACCATTTCTTCAGAAATTGCAGGGGTTTTTGGAGAATCCTTGTCAAGTAACCCTAATTTAGCACCCACAACAGGATGTTTGAGAGACACTTGCTGCAAAATTTATATTGTATCACATGAGACAGAAAAACCTTGGCCTACAAAGCCTATTTAGGAGTTAAAACCTACTAAAATATTCAAAACAAAAAATTTCCTAAGAAACCAAAAGAGAAATTAAACAATCATGAAGCAAACAGGCAAATAGGCTGGGATTATTTTTATCTACAATGAAAGTGAGTAAATCAAGGTGTCAGAAGATGGTAACGCCCCTTGTACAATAGATGGGACAATCCACAAGTTTACATAATGGAAATGACAATACGAAGAAGCACTCCCTCTGAGCTATCTCTATACAATTAGAGCATGCTATAGCCAGGCATTTCTCCTCGCTTCTTAGAACCCACAAAGATTTGCAAGAAATAATGAATCCGGAAGTATCTAAACCAAGCATCATTGTCAAGTACTTTGGACATGGGTGATTAACAAATGAAGTTCACTGTGTCAGATATGATGCTTAGCAAGCCAGTACTTTCCTCTAACATCTTGTGCAGCCATAAGAGAAACAAGAGAAAACTAATAAACCATGTCGAAAGACTCATAACAAGAAATTGCCCTTAGAGTAACTTATTTCGTCTTCCAGTTCATTTAGCTCCTCAATGGAATTAGAGTTAAAAAGTGAGAATAATTTAGCTCCTCATTTTGCTGCAGTTCATTTTGTTAAGTTTCCATAGAGGAACTATTCACCAAGTGTATTCTGGTTGTTTAAGAATGAACTCCCTGAGGAAGTTCATCTTTTGAAACAAAGCAAACAATTAAGATTCATACCCCAAAGAGATACCAAGTGCACTCTGGTTGTTCAGGGATAATTCCCTAAGGAAGCCACCTTTCGAAATGAAGCAACAATTGAGTCTATTTTATTGGACATAAAAACAAGCTAGAAAATAATTGGGCAAACCTCAAATTAGCACCAAACATATTACCCCATCATCAACTAAGCCCCAAAGTTCTTGATTTATCAAGTTTGCCCCTAAAGTAATAGGCACCAGACAATTCACCCCTCTATCCCTCTGATGTTAGTGCTAGGATAAAGATTATGTCCAACTTGCGCGTGGTCTTCAATTGCTTCCATTGAATGTGAGCCCAATATGCCATGAAAGGACTTAAGAATGAACTCATTGTAAATTTCCAACACTTCCCCTTTTATGCAAACTAGTGAAGTAGAGGGAATTGTTAGTTGTAATATCTTGATTAAGAGAAATTGACTGATATGCAATTACTTGATTTAGAGAGCTTGATCTAGGAAGATTGATTGATTGATGAGCAACTATCACAAGGTAATATATTCATTGAATAATTCTATTATAAATTTTTTAATTTGTAGAGTGAATATTTTAGGATAGTTCTTTCTACCGTTCCCAACAAGGACTTAAAGCACTACAAGAACTGAAGATTTAAGTTTTTGATGAAACCAAGACCAGAATTTGAGATTGCATGCACCACTTTAATCAACCAAAATCCTATTTTGTCTTTAAAGGACTGAATATTTAAGTTTTTGATGAAACCAAGACCATAATTTGAGATTGCATGCACCACTTTAATCAACCAAAATCCAGTTTTGTCTTTAAAGGTTTGTTTAATGGAATTATTATGTAAAAAACAACGTCTAGCACTTAGCTTGGCCTTAATTCAGAAACCTTGACACTTGAGATGGTTAATGTGGCATATGTTGCTTAGGGCAAAGATCTAGGTCAAAAACTTAGTGATACAATTGCAAGCAGTTTGGAAATATTGTAAAGCCTGCAACAAGAAATTTTCCAATTATTGTAAAAAGAAAGGGCACATCATTAAAAATTGTTAAGTGTGAGCTCACAATAGACTCACTCTAGCCCCTCATAATGTTGTCCAATTTCAAGACTCTTTTTGGTTCCTCCTTTGAATCACTTTGTAAGCAGTTCTTCCTCTAATATTGCACTCGAGATGATCTGAATTTTCTTTATTCTCTGCCTTCAGCATACAAGGTAAAAGGAATCTACTTTTTCATTGATTGACTCTGCAACTTCCAATCATATGATTGATGGTATGGATGCTTTACAAAAATTTTGTAAGTACGAGGGTGAGCAGCATATTCAAATAGCATATGACAGTGCTCTACCTATCATTGCGATTGGAGCTTTAGGTCTTTCTTTAATGATGTTTTTGTCTCCAAATTTGTTTGTCAAATTTTTTTTACCTCTAGATTTATATGCCAATTAATTTCTTTCTACCAATTGATAAATAATAATTGTAAAATTCACTTTGATCATGATGGTTGTCGTGTGCAAATTATGCGTCAGGTAAAGTGATAGCAAAGAAATATAAAGTGGGACGTCCCTTTCTCTCAAATTTTCATCCCTAGGTCTGTTTCTTTCAATTATACTACGGTTGTTAATAATAGTCATGTATGACATAAGAAATTAGGAAATCTCAATTCTGTTATTTTAGCTTATCTTATGAAACATGATTATTTAGGCAATAAGGATTTGTTTTCACCTTCTACTATGTCTTCTTATTGTGGTTCAAGTAAAGTTTGTAAAAGAAAATCCTTACCCTTTCTAAAAAAATAAACCAATCTTTTGTGTTCTCCCTTACAATAGAGTATTTATAGTTCACAAAATAAAATAAACCCTAATGGATTAATGGACTAACATTAAGACCTAATTAAAAATAACCTTAAGTTTATAAAATAAAAACAAAACCAAAGACTATAATAAATAAAAGAATGGCTAAAAGTATCCACCCTTGTATAAACATGTTGTGTTGATGACTTTCTTTGCTAGGGCTCCTGACCTTATATTCTTGAAAAGACCTTGAATTCTTGAAAAGTAATGATGTGTAGCTGACCTTGTGACCTTGGAGAATAAGGAGACCTTGCAAAATAAAAATTGTTGCCTAAATTGATTTTCTCGAAAAGTAAGGAGTCCTTTCAAAATAAGGATTCCACATATAATTAAATCCCGCCTTGTAAGAAACCACAAATAATATGGAAAACAATCATTTTCCAACTTTCCTTATTTGTTGGCAAATTTCAAGAATGACATCAAACTCATCGTTCTCTCCCATCTAGATATGTTACTAGGACTGCTATATACGGATAGAAAGCTTAAGAAATCTAGTTTCTAGCCCAACTGAAATCAAAACAAAATTCCACTTGTATATCCAGATATGACCCAAAAGGTACACGAATTTCCAATCAGACAGATTTGCTACTTTTTAACCCAAACATTAACCCATTAAATTCTTCTTTCATCTTCTTAGTTTTATACCTTGTAATATGCCCAATTGGTACCTTTAACAAATCCTTTAGTGATGCTCGCTGATTTTCATCACTACTTCACATGGCAATCGGGCTTATTTTGAGAACATTCATACATGTATGAGACGTCAATCTTGTTATTTCACATGCTCAGTACAAGTATTTTTTATGTATATTAATGACTATAATCATTTTGTTTGGGTATATTTTCTTCGTTCTAAAGCTAATGTGTTTTCTATCTTTTAGAACTTTGTTGCCCTTGTTGAAAATTAGTTTTTTACTTGCATTAAGATTATAAGATCTGATTTTAGAAGGACTATATCCAATGACTTTCAATCTTACCTATGAATGAAAGGTATTCTCTCCTAACGTTCTTATCCAAACATTCTTCAACAAAATAGGGTTTCGGAGTATAAGAATCTTCACCTTTTAAATGTTGTCTGTATCTTGTTAATTGACTCTTCTATACTTCCTAGATTTTGGGCAGAAGCATTATCTACTACTAATTATTGGATTAATTATCTACTCTCCCAAATTCTCAAATTTGATTCTCCACATTCTTTATTATTTGGTGTTGCTCCTCGATACAACTCTTATCATATCTTTGATTGTGTTTGTTTCATTCATTTATCATCCATTGAACGACACAAGCTTGTTGCTCTATCTGATCAATGTGCATTTCTATGATATAATAATGTCCGTAAAAGGGTTCATGTGTTATGATTCGGCTACTAATAAACTTGGTATTTCTCAAAATGTCATGTTCTTTGAAAAATAATATTTCGTTCAGCCTTCTACTTCTCATGATCTGTTTTCAATTTTACTTCCTAATTTTGATGGTGTTGAGTCCCATATTGAATGTTTCAAGTCTGGAGTTGTGTATCGAAGACGTCGTTCACAAGTTCCATTGCCTAACCCATCACTGACAACTGATCTTGTCTTGGTTAAGCCTCATCAATTATCTCAGTTTTCACGTCCTCCAAATAGGTATGGGTTATCTCATACCGCTCTTTAAGCTACTCTTAATACTAGTACTGCATCTAAGTCTTACTCTCAAACTTCTACTTAAGCATGTTAGAAGCAATCAATGCAAGAAAAGCTTCGAGCTCTTTATGGCAATCACACCCAGAACATTATTGTTCTCTCCTACTAGCATCAAACTTCTTGGCTACAGATGGGTTTATACAATAAAGCCATAGCCTCATGATTCTATTTGCTCTTGAGAATCGATAAAGAGTATTGTCCACACTGTTATGAGTATGGGCTTGATTATAAAGAGACATCTACACCTATGACCAAGATGACTATTGTCCACACTGTTATGGCTATCGCTACCTTGAAAGGAAAGGATGGTCACTCTGATAGATAGATGTGAAGAATGCATATTTGCATAAAAACCTTAAAGAAGAAATACATGACAACTCCACCTAGCATGTTCACTAACTTTACTTTATGAGGTTTGTTGTTTAAAGCCGTCTTTATATGGATTTATGCAGACACTACATACCTGGTTTTGAGAAGTTTTGTTCTGTTCTTCTTGATTTCAAATTTTTCCATAGTTCGTTTGACTTGAGTTGATTAAACAAGTACATGTGCACCTTAAAATTTCATTTCACATTTCATATGAAAGATCTGTGTAACCCTACAATATTTTCTTGGTCTTGAGGTCATTGTTGTTCGACTAACACACTTTTGCATCAACATAAGTATACTCAAGAGCTTCTCACCTTGATAGTAATTTGTTCCTTACACCAGTAGATGTCAGCTTGAAGTTCCAACAAGATGATGGCAACCTATTTTTCGATCCCTTGTCATATCAGCAACTGATAAAGAGTTTGAATTATTTGACAATTACTTGACCTAATATTTCTTTTGTTGCACAAGTTAGTCAGTTTATACAGGCTCCTCTTCATTCTTACTTAGTCACTATACAATGTATCCTTTGTTATCTCAAGGGTACTTCTAGTCATGGATTATTCTTTTCTATTGCAACCTTTTTTCATTGATGGGCATTTTAGTGATATGGATTGGATTGGTTGTCCTGATATTCATCGTTCAATTATTGGTTGGTGCATGTTTCTTGGTAATACTATTATTTATTGGAAGAGTAAGAAGTAGGATCAAGTTTCTTAATCCTTAACTGCACAATGTCATCTATGAGATTGCTTGGCTTTGGGGTTTGTTAGGTGAACATGGTATTCCTTAGCCTACTCTTAGTCCTCTTCATATTGATAACATTAGTGCTATTCAAATTAATATCAATATGATCTTTCATTAGTGCACGACTCTGATTACCGGAGATGGTTATACTTTGTTAAAGGTATTCCACCAACAATCTAGAACACAGAGAATGTTGCTAGAATTTACATTGACCTTTGTCATTCTATTAGTGAAACACTTGACTAACATGTGATTACTAACCCTTACATTTCCACCAAGTTCCAAACACCTTATGGGTTTACCAAGGCTCTTGATCTCATCATTGACATCAATTCATGATTGACAAATTAATACTTCGTGATCCACCAACATCAATTTGAGGGGGATACTAATTGTAATATGAGGATTTAGAGATATTGATTGATATACAATTACTTGATTTAGAAAGCTTGATCTAGGAAGATTGATTGATAAGCAAATAGTTGTACATTACCTTTACCTTTTCAGATATTGTAATCATTTTGATAGGAAATTATTATGATTTCAAGGTAAAACTGTCCTTCAGAACATATTAGGACTTATTTTGGCACCTTGGATTGAAACATTTAATAGGCATGTGCAAATCACATGCTCGTTGAAAAAAATCTCTTAACTGCTACTAACAACTAATAGATAAAAAAGTAACATTGTTCGATGATTATTACATTTAGAGAAAAATTGATAAAATCAAAAGGTTTTGGGACTCCATTGATAGTGGGATAATAGGTTGGGAGCTACATTGGGGTTTCCCTAAGATAATATCACAAGATTAACCATGAAACAATAGCAAGCTATGAGTTGAATAACATATTTATCCTGAAATTGTAAAACGTGACAACTAACCTGGATTATAGTAAATGAACTATTGGTAATCCAATAGACTAGACTTCCCTGTCAAAAAAACAAAAAAAGAAAATGTGACTCTACACTTGGTAAGGTGTAAAGAGAAGCTCAGCATCAAAATAAAGAAGTTATCTTTCCCAATGAAAGGTATTGTAAGCAAAGTCCTTTTGCCATATCTTTATAAACCCCTACTAAACTAGCTACAAAAATCAGAACAAAACAACTTTATAAGTGCATGGTGGTTGAACTTTCCATAGTGTCCTACATGCATTGCATGAGGATGAGTAATTTTAATATCATGTAATAAATCAATGTAGCGACACAAGGAATGGATTGAAGGGCATGAGGTAATCATTGAGTGCACAAAGGCCTAGTGGCAATGAAATGTAAGAGAGAACATAGTAAAACCATTTTAGGACTTCCCCTAACAATTTTAGTTTTTTTTATTAAGTGGTTCATTCACATAAAAAATAAGGATGTGGGAGTTTGGTGGTGTTGAATATGTGAGCAGGGGGGAAATGGTAAATGAGAATAAAGGACTTCTACAATTGATATCAATTGTTATTTTCATATTATTGTTCAAGTTTCCTAATAGATTATCATGAGAATTTTATCATTACCTATTTGAAGGAGATATTAAGATATTATTTATATTATTTGAATTCCATTTAGAAGGTTTCCCTATGGTTTAGTCCATTCTTGTTAGGTTACGGTTTATTTCATTAGCTTTGCAGCATATATAAAGCACCTTAGTTATTTACATCCAAAAGGAGGTTATTAGTATTGATTAATTAAAATAAATTGAGCCTTCATAGCTTGGTTTTGTAAGTTCATTGTATTTATTTCATTCTTCACTTGGTTCTACTCCAAGGGTCTACATCAAGGAGTTGCTAGTATGAAGAAGAAGAAAGCATATGGAAATGCAAGAAGTTGAATATGAAACAATGTTGAAACAAAGATGATTGTAGGTTACAAGACTCCAAAACAGCATGCCAAAGTTTGGTGATAGATGGGAAGCAACCTAAAAAACTTTTCAACAAATTTTATTCATGATGTGTCGTATGAATGCCATGTAGTAGAATTGCTCATGTGGAATAGGAAACGGGGAAATGAACAAGTTTAACTCATCATGTCCAAGGATTTATACTCTGTTTGGAAATTTTCAAAGGGATTGATTGAGTGGAATAAAATTAAAGTCCTAACGACAAAAGAAGCAAAGTTGATGTCTTTTTGTAGACAAAGGTATTTCTAAAAAATTGTCTGAATCTAGGCTTTATTTTCTGTTTAGTATTTTATTTTATAACTCTTAAGTTATTAGGTTTTCATATTCTAAATGGTACGAGTTAGAAGAAAGTTAAAGACTCTAAGCACATATTGGATTTGAACTAAAACTCTCTAAATAAGCATATAGTCTTTCAATATTTTCATCGCAGTTTATGAACAAAATTCTACCAATTTGCTTTTGATTGATTGACTCAATCTCCCATAGGTGTGACTACTAAAAAACGTAGGTGTGAAGCTTATGTTTTATATCCTCTAGGTGTGACTCCTAGAAACCCAATTAGTGTGGCTCTTATAGTTTCTACAATTTTCAACAATTCAAATCCTATATTCAAACCTCTATTGAATTCCCAAACATCCACACATTCAAGCCCCATCAATTCTACACTTAATAGCACTGACCATCTAAAGATCAACTCAAACCCTAAAATTACTATTCACACCACTATTTATAGCCTTAACAACCTCTGAAAGTCAGATCTAGAACAATCTCCAAAGTTGATGTAGAACAATTATTTCTAGAGTTTACGGACCAAATTGACAAGGTTAAACCTGAAAAGAAGTCTGTAAAAACCCTGGAAGCATCTCATATGAAGCCCAAAGTTATAGTTTTCCTATTTGAACTATATTCCTAGTTAATTTTGAATTTTAATTATTTGTTTCTTTTTTATCTTAGTTCTTTTAATTTAGTTAGTATTTTACTATTTAGAAATTCTAATGCTAAATGGGTTCTATTAATTAGGTAAATTTTAATTAGAAATGTCTAGATTATAAGTATAAATATGAATGAGAATGCTTAGTTTATTTTATGGAGATCATAAATACTATTCATATTTAATTTAAAAAAAAAACCTGAGAATTTTCTCTATATTTCTTTATAGTTAGGTTTGTAACCTTAAAGCTTGAGGACCCTAGTTTTATCTTTGTTATACATTGTGTCATGTGGTATCAGAGTGGGTTAACATTTGAATCGATGACGAATCATGAAGAGAATCATACAGCAGTTAAAGGCAACCATCTTTGTGATGGTGATTAAGGGATACAAGCTGTTTAAGATCAGTTAGATCATTATTCAAGAGCAATAGCTACTATAAAGAAGTGAATTCAAATTAGGTTTGGCGACATCAACGCCAAATTTGATGACTTTATAACCAAGTTTGAGACACTAGAGTTATGTAGAAACATGAATCAAGGAGGAAGAGAGGCATACACTAGGGATAACACTTATGGCCAACTAGTCATTGAACCAGTTCGTGCAAAATTCTCATGGTCAATATGAATACGAATATTTATCCGATGAAGAAGATCGAGGTAAGGTTGCCAAAAATAATACGTACGATCAAAACTATCGTATGAAGGTTGAGATTTCTTCTTTTGGTGGTGAGTTAGGAGTAAAGGAGTTCCTTGATTGGTTAGCTAAACGTGATTGATTTTGTTAGTAGATGAGAATTTAAGATTCAAGAATAGTAAAAACTATAGGGTCTAAATTGAAACATACGGTCTTAGCCTGTTGGGATAGACTATTAAAGGCTAGAAGGCAAAAGGATAGAAGACCTGTTAAGACTTGGGAGCAGATGAAGCAATTGTTGAGAGATAGATTCTTACCCCTTGATTATGATCAACTTTTGTTTCATAAGTATCAAAGGTGTTCCCAAGGTTCCTAAAATGTGAATGAATATACAGTGGAATCTTTGCACCTAGCTGAACAAAACACTCTGCATGAAACTGATGGGCAACAGGTTACTAGATATGTAGAGGGGTTGAAACCTATCATTAGAAATAGAATTCGGCTGTGGATATTGAATGTTACCGATGCATGAATATGGTTTTAAAGGCATGGATGTTGATGCATGATAGAATCAATATGAGATTTGATTATCAAATAAGGTTCCCTAATGCAAAGCAATAGGCCTCAAGCAATTCCTAATATGGATAAAAAAAAAAGAGCGATGCAATTAGGAAGGTCATGGATCCAACATGTGTCCTCAACAAGGCTTGTAAACATGAAAACAAAGTGTAGAGAAGAAACAGAAGTGTATCTGAACGAGTGTTGTGAACCTGATGGTGAAGGTGAGGAGGATGATGATGGTCAGATTATATGGTGATATGATTGTTGCTAACACCAAAAGTTGATGACGAAGACACAACGATACAAACTCTTTCATACCAGGAGTATGGTGAACCAACAGATTTTTTACCTTATTATTGACAGTAGTAGCTGCGAGAGTATTATTGGTAGAGAAATTGCTATCAAATTGGTTTTTGAACAATGATAAATATCTTAAACCTTACAATATAAGTTGGATTAAAAAGGAACCAAAGGTAACAATAACTGAAAGATGTAAAGTTTCTATGGAACATAGGCAAGTACTGGGATAAAATTTATTGTGATGTAGTTGACATAAATGCTTATAACTTGCTATTTAGTAAGCCATGGCACTTCGCTTTAAATGCATGGCATTGGAAACGAGAAAACATCTATAGGTTTGTCAAGAATAGGATTAATTAATTTTACTTGATCCCTCTAAAAGGGAATTCCCAACCAAAAGCCCAAAAGGCATTCCTTACTATTACCCAATCTTTGTCAAAAATTGAGTGACAGATTTAAAAAAGATAAAAGAAGTGCATGCTTTAATTATGAGGTTTTCTTTGTTGTTTAAAAAAGCTTACAAGGCAATAGAGGTTCCTAAAGTTGTTATGCCTCTATTGCAAGAGTTTCAAAAAGTTATTCCAGATGGGTTACCTATTATGTGTGATATACAACACCAAATTGATTTGATTCTAGAGGCAAATCTTCTAAATTTGACTCGTTACAGAATGAGCCCAAAAGAGGGAGAGATCTTGTGGGAGAAAATAGAAGAATTGTTAAAGAAAAGGTTGGTTCAAGAAAGCTTAAGTCCATGAGATGTCCCTACTTTACTGACACCAAAGAGGGATAGTAGTTGGTGTATGTGTATTGATAGTCGTGTCGTCAACAAAATGGATACAAGTTTCCAATTCCATGATTGGATGACATGCTAAATCAGTTATGTGGTGCAACAGTCTTTTTGAATATTGACTTGAGAAATGGGTACCATTGGATTTGGATTCGACCAAGGAATGAGAAGGAAATGGCTTTCAAGACAAAGGATAAGTTGTATAAGTGGTTAGTCATGTCATTCAGGTTAACAAATGCACCGAGCACATTCATGAGGATGATGAATCAAGTTTTGTGACCTTTCATAAATAAATTCATTGTGATTTAATAATATCCTTGTATTCACTCATAATAAAATAGATCATATTGAGCACGAGTGTTTTGGAGGGGCTACTAAAAAACAAGTTGTGTGTGAATATGAAGAAGTATAGCTTTATGACCAGTAAGTTGTTATTCTTAGGTTTTGTAGTAGGAGTTGAGGTTGATGAGGAGAAAGTGAGGGCAATTCATGATTGGCCTACACCTAAGACATTTAGTGATGTGCGGAGTTTTCATGGCTTGACTATTTTTTATGGGAGATTTATTTCGAATTTCAATAGCATTGTGGCACTATTCATTGCATGTTTGAAGAAAGAGAAGTTTAAATGGGGTGATGAAGAACAAAATTTTTCCTTAATAAATGAGAAGCTATGTAATGCTTCAATGCTTGCTTTACCCAACTTTGACAAGTTGTTTAAAGTTGAATGTGATATTTATGGAGCGGGTATTAGAGTCGTTCTTTTCCAGGAGAAACATCTTATAGCATTTTTCAGTGAGAAATTGAATAAAAATAACTTGAAATCCTATGATAAAGAACTCTATGTTGTGGTAAAGACTTCAAAAATTTAAGAATATTATTTGATTGATAGAGATAGTCTTATCCCTCACACTTCCCTACGCGAGAAATTGATTTGAGACTTGCATGGTTGCAAATTAAAGGGTCATGGGAGGATAAAAAACAATGTCAGCTTTGGAGGATAAGTATTATTGGTCTCAGCTCAAGCATGATGCAAACAAATTTGTTCAACAATGTTTTACTTGTCAAACAGCTATGGGCTAATCACAAAACACTAGTTTATACATGCCTCTACCTCTACCTAAACATATCTAGAGAGATATTTTCATGGATTTTGTGTTAAGTCTTCCATGAACTCAACGAGGAATGGATTCTATTTTTATTGTTATGAACAGATATTCAAAGATGACACACTTTATACCTTGCAAGAAGACTACGAATGTGATCAATATGGCTAGGCTATTTTTCAGGGAGATAGTGAGGTTGTATGGAGTTCTAAAATCCATTACGCTTGATAGAGATACCAGATTCCTTGGTCACTTTTGGCTAACCTTATGGAAAATGTTTAGTTCCTCTTTGAAGTTTAAGCAGTATTGCTTATATACAAATTGATGGCCAAACAAAGTCTCTAAGAAAACTTTGAACAATCAGATTCGTAGCATTTGTGAAAACAAGCCTAAACAGTGGAATGTTGCATTAGCTTAAGCAGAATTTGCTTACAATAGTCACAAGCATAATGCTACTGGCAAGACATCATTTAAGATTATGTACATGAAGCCTCCAAATCATGTACTCAATCTACATTCACTGCCCAAAGTTGTTGGATTTAGTAAGTCAGCAGAGAATTTGCTAGAACAAGTGCAAGCTATGCATCAAGAGGTCATGATAAAACTGGAAGAATCAGCTGCCAGAAATAAACACGTAGCAGACAAGCATAGGCGAGTTAAATTGTTTCAAGAAAGAGACATGGTCATGATTTTTTTGTGTAAGGAGAGGTTTCAAGTAGACACCTATAATAAGCTAAAGGTGAAGAAATATGGTTTTTACAAGATGCTGAAGAAAATCAATGATAATGATTATGTTATTAATCTTCTGGATAGCATGGATATATCAAAGACCTTCGATGTTGCTGACCTTTATAAGTACTTTCCAAATACTAAACTCAGCTGGTGGACATGTTTTTCTGAAGTATGAGAGACTAATGTAGAATAATTATTCCAAGAGTTTATGGACCAAATTGCAAGGTTAGGCCTGAAAAGAAGCTTGCAAAGAAATTCAGAAGCATCTCATACGAAGCCTAAAGTTATTGTTTTTCTATTTTAATTATTTTCCTAGTTAATTTTAGAGTTTAATTATTTGTTTTCTACTTAGCTTAGGTCTTTCAATTTAATTAGTATTTATTATTTAGAAATCCTAGTGCTAGACGAATTCTATTAATTAATTAAGTTTTAATTAGACATTATTTCCTATAAAGAATTCTAGGACTAATATAAATAAAGATGTCTAGTTTATTTTATAGAGATTAAAACTATTATTCAAATTTAATAAACATACTAGAGAATTTTCTCAAGATTTCTCTATTGTTGGGTCAGTAATCTTAGAGCTTGAAAACCCTAATTTTATCTTCATTTACATGTTGTCAAAAGTTGTCCTATGTGCAAGGTCTAGTGCCCATGTTTGAATGTCTAGGTTTTGCACAAAATTGTAATTCCTACCAAAATAGGAGCAATTTGGTGAGATTCAATAGCAATTTTAATAATTGTAGTTATCTCAAATTTTATTGGCCCTTCTTCATAAGTACATAGGCAAAGCTTCTTTCTTTTTTCTTTTTTTTTTTTAGGGTGAAGGGAGCTTTTATAGCATTTTTTCTCTTTTTTTAAATTGAGAGAATAAAAGAATAAAATAAATGGAATTGAAGCAACTAAGTAATATCAATGAACATATTAGTACTTTGTCTCAAAAATGTTATCAAATTATTTTTTTATATCTAAAACAAGATCTAGAGCTAATATTCTAAAAATATTATATTGCTTTTGTTGTCAAAGTTTCATTACACTTGTCTTAAAAAAAAATGAATAATGGAGAAGCACTTAAAAAACAACTCTTTTCATCATGGAAATGATGCAAAGATTTTCTAATTGGCATGAGATAAAAAAATGCTATAAAAATTTCTACAAAGCACATGCTTTATAGCTTTCAAAGAGGAGATTTTTCCTCTAAGTAAAACATAGCTACTCCATCAACCAAGTATTTTATGGTTTTATTAAAGAGGCTTATAATTTTGAAAATAAAATACTTTTTCTTACATAATTCTTGATGTGGTTACTCTGTCTTGTAACAATTATCGATGAAGTTATTAGATATCTGAAAGATTACCAATTAGCTATATATCCAATGAACCAAAATAAAGGTATCCTATAGATAAAAGTTGTCATTTAATTATCATTAAGAACATTAGGGTTGAGCATTCATTCTCATAGATATTAGCATAGAACAATGATTTGAATATTTAAGTAAAAATAAAGATTAAAGATTGGGATAGTACTATTGTTTTGATTAGAGTCACTATGATTTATATTGATTTTTTAACTTAATTAATAAAAACTAATTAAATACTTCATTTAGTGGATGTTCTTATAGATTTGAAACTCTTAATAGAACATCAATTATCTTTATTTTCTTCTTAACCTAAATGATAAGGCTACTTGTGGTGTTGGAATGTTATGGTAGGATAACATGTATGGAATGTAGAAAGCGACACGATGTGGAATTGAATACGTCATACTATAATCTTGTTTTTCTAGGTCTGAGAATCAGAGAATCAAAAGTAATGCATTTTTTTTTTCTAAATTTTAGACAGAAAGTCTTATAAATAAGTTATAATTACTAGAGAGGATATAGTAGTAAATCAAAAGTTTTTATGATTTCATATATATATATATATATGGTTACTAACAATCATTAATATGGAAATAGATTGGACAATTTGGTTAGGCATAATGGACCAGTTTTGTATTAAAAATATTCTCTAAATACTGAAGGTTAATTCAACTATAGATGATCTTTGACTAGAAATGAATAAAGTGGTCAAGAGTTGCTATTATGGAACAACTTTTTAGCACAAAAACAACAAACCTTAACTCTATGGGGACAAGGAAAGTATCACAATACACTTATATTAGCACAATAAAGCAAAGTAAATTTCACAGAAATTCTTAACTATATCATGATCTTTAAGGTAGTAAGCTAAGATAAAACCAATCTAACAAAATATAACAGTCTAAAATTCCAAGAAACATGTAGTGAGATATTAAGTTACCTGTGGAATGCAGTAACCAATGAAAAACATAGGCAGCGTCAAAAATATCAGATAATACTTGTAGTACTGCAGTAACAAAGACATTTCAATCACTGGCAAGAACCAAAAGCGTGTCGCACATATCAGGGGAAGAATTTAAGCATTAAACAAAAATCAAGTAACCAATAAACTTGTAGCGCTCACTTTTGATAATAAGCCTAACAAGCCACCCGTGTTTTGAATAGAAGATGTATCAAAGCAGAGCTGAAAAAAAAAATTCAATATCAAACGAATCAATGAATGATCAAAACTTTCTCCATGAACTACTTACCAAAAGTTTGCTACTAGAAAAACATGTAAGAAGAAAACCTAGCTTTTTTAGAAACTGAAACCATTCCCATTAAAAACATAAAAATATTTGTCACGGGCAAGAACATGTTAAGCACCATTACAATCATCAAACTTCTAACACAACATATTGACAAAGGAAAGAAAGCAACCAAGAAAAGAAAATCTCCATGGAAATCCAATGTTAGAGAAGCAGATGTTCTTCATTAAAAATAAAAATGAACAAGGGAACTGATTATACAAGTTAGCATATACATGTATGATAAATGTTTTATATGCCCAAAATTAAGCATTCCTCAATCTTATCCTGTAACTAAACATATCTCAGCCCTATCATGTTATTGCTGTTTACAGTCACAGAGCAAAGGAACATTAAGAATGTTAAGTGGACTTTCTTTGAAACATATGGTCATGGGCTCAAAGCATATCTTTCCACACGAGTAGACTATGGAATAAAGCAGATAGCAGTTGGATCGACCTTGCAGAACACAGTTCAGCTATTGGTGAACTTAGACCATTCTAGGTTGTTGACAGTAGGATCATGAAGTTATTTTGGGCAACTGTCTGATCAGTCAGACAGGGGATCAAGGTTTCTATAACCTTGTGCAAGTGATCCTCTGTTATATTCAAGTTGTTAAAGGCGCGTCTATTGTTCTCCAAATTCTGTTACAAGGAATAGCATAACATCCAAGGAAAAGGGAATTCTTTTTCCAAGAGTTAAAAAAAAAAGAAATTTTGTGAAGAAAATTATGAAAATCAAGTTAAGGAACATTCCAATCCTCCAAATATCAGCCAATGCAGCTCCCCTAAACCATGAAAATAGCTCCATGACATGGTCATCTCACAAAAGTTGCCACATAGCAACGCACACAATAAAAATTCAAAGATTTCTTTCCATCCACAACGTCCAAACAATAACATGCATTATGCATGTCCTCTCATCTTCATATGTGGTACACGTGCAGGAATTACCAGATAATATCTCAATAGTTACTGTTAATAGAGTATTTTCTCCAGTTTCTAACGACAGCTCTAGCTGTGGTGTGTGAATCTACTACAATCTAACTCTGCAGCTTCATTTATGCATTTTTTTTCATTTCTTTAATAATATGGTCATCTTGCATTTTATCGAACAAAAATCAGCTTCACATTCTTCACACATGATAGCCCCTCAATATCAATAGTAATAATGGTTATACAGGTGTAAGAAGAAAAAAAAATAAAAAACAAATTAGTCTGGTATATGGTTATGATTTTTTTTCTAGGCACCAAAGTAATATTAATAACTTCAAATGATAACTGTAAAACTAGAAATAGTAAAATTCAACAAATCAAAAGGTAGAGTTATTTATTGGCTAGATTGCTTGGGAGTATGCTGGAATTTGTTGTCATTGATGTGGTGAAGATACTAGCATGGCACTGATATGGTAGTGCATGATGATGTGTTGTTAATGTGGCAGTGCTGGTCTGATATCGCAGTGCTGAGGCTGATGTGGCAATGAAGTTGCAGTGCTAAGGTGATGTGTCAGTTGGCATGGCAGAACTGGATGACTTGTCAAACGACATGGTTGAGACTGGCAACATGGTCAATGAGATGGCAAAGGTGATGAGAAAAATGCAACTAAGAGTCTCTCATTGCTAGTGAAAAGAAAAATGGGTCAGATGCAGTGTTGTCGCACAAGATCAATGGTGGAGATTTTGAAGTGGTTGACGATTAATGGCAGGTGGCAGATCTTCCAAACAAGGGGTTGGGTTCGCCTAGTTTGGAAAAGATGCTTGGGCCTGTTGATTTCAAATGGAAGGAAGCACAAGGTTCGCTAGGAGAGGCTGATTTTATCTGGGCAGCAGGTGTTTGAAGGATTTTTTTTCAGATTTTGATCGTAAATGGTAAAAGACAAAACAGAACAAAAATTTGCTCTGCATTTTTTTTTTTCTGTTGTTGAAAGCTTATCACAAGATCTAGGGTTTAGGAACTAGAGTTAATATCAATGAATTTGAACAAGCCCATAGATCATTTAATTGTAAGAACAATTAAAACCCTATGCTTTGATACGAAAGTTGATGTAGAACAATAACAAAAAATTAAAGAAGGGAAGAAAGAAGCTTTAAAGAGAGAAGCTAAGAACTAAAAGTAAAGAAAGGAAAATGCTAGGAAGAAAAGAGAATTCAAGAAGAGAAAAATCTATCATTTTTATTTAATCCTCAAAAACTGCCTAACATTTAGAAAAGTAGGATATAAATACTAAAACCTTAACTTGAACAAGCGATTGAGCTTATGACCAACTAAATAAAATACCCAACAATAAAGTGATTGAGCTTATGACCAACTAAATAAAATACCCGACAATAATTAAATCAAAGCCACCAAATAAAACCTGATTAATAAACCTTAACTAAAAGTTCATATAAATTAAACTAAAACATAAACTAAAGTCAACCTCTCAATTGTTTGGGCTACCCTCCATTCTAAAATCATACGAGTGCGTAAACAATGTCGAGTCCGGTGCCCCCCCCCCCTCAAAAAAAAAAAAACCTTTACGGTAAAATGGTTTACAACTTATTTCCAATATTTGGAAAGTGATGACATTAAAAATGTGGTAGCTATAATGGAACGAAGGTGGAGTGATGATGGGCTATAAGGTGGCGGTGATCATTGCAATGGTGGTGATGCTGTTGGTAGTAAAATGGTGGAGGCGGTGGTCTATAAAACTTTTACCTGAAAAATATTTTACACAAAAAAAAATACCTCTTAAGTTACAATATCAGTTCTAACTTTTTACTTGTTTGCAGACTTATATCTATAGACGTATTGGTATTTTTCCCTCTAAGCCATGTCAAATTTGGTAATATGGCAAATCAGGTTGAACATGGTACAGAGCAAGAACGAGGAAATCAAGGTCAACAAAAATGTTTGACTATGATGCTACTTATGCTTGAACTTTTTTCATGGACCATTTACACTTTGCAGCACAAAGGCCAAATAAAGATTCCAAAAGGTGACCACAAGCCATTAAACTTGCCAACAGATGGTGTTCTATGGATGAAATTAGCCATGGAGAAGATGGAAACCCCTTTTATGATGTTGCACAAGTGAGCAGTGCTATACGAGGTAGATCAGAAAAGTGGTAGGTGCATAACTTTGCATTAAAATCAAAGCTGTTTATTTTCATGGGACAATGCACAGGAAAGACTATTTTGATTGGGAAGTTGGTGCGGAAAATTATTTTGAGTGGGAACCCATGGTAGAAAACAAGAAAGTGTTTGTCTATTAACCTTAAGCAGGACACTGCACTTTAATTGTGGAAGAGAGTCGAAGAGCAAATGTATGACAAGAAAAACTAAAAATTGGCACTTTGAAACAAATGAAAGCAAATATGCAGAAGCAATTTTTGCTGGATGATTGGTAATGGAGATGTATGAGAAGTTCCTTTTCATTAAAATAAAAAGGTATGTCAAAAAAAGTATATATTGGTGAAGTTGAATTAACCGTCTTTCAATTCATGTTGGGTTGAATGAAACTAATAACCAGATGGCATCTCCATATCTTGCATGATTGAATCAATATGTTAAAGATGAGTATCAAGTGGGATGATTATTTAATCTTGAAGATGCTCACCGACATGCTTTAATGGCTGAAAATTGTGGTCATATGGTATGAGGCCTCTATCTAGAAGAATCAACGTTGCACAAAGGGGGGCTAGAGCTGTTCAGAATATTGAACATAATGAAATTGACACTGGTGGGGAGACCTCTGTACTCAACCAAACTAGTGGAGGAAACATAGCACTATTGAAAGGAGCAAAAAAGGAAAAGCTTTAGTAAGATTTGGGCAGCAAACAGTTTTGTTCCCAATGTTTATAAGGCTTGCAGCAGCTTATATTCGATATTTTACTTGTGGAGAAAGAAGCCATAGTTCTAATTCATGTCCAAAACAAAGGGCAATCTTAGCTAAGTTAGAGGGATGAGGGTTTGATGTGTTAGAACCAGTTTATTATGAGTGTCTTAAAGAAAAGGAAGAAATAGATATGCATCCAATGAGGGTATCTTTGATGATTTGAGTGATGACAACCACAACCTAAGAAGAAGTGAAGGATTTGAGAAGGTCGAGCATTTTAAAACTGCTCTATGATGTTCATGTTGATAGCAATCATGATGATGACAAAAATTAATACAGCCACAAGCATGCCACTAAAAGTTTAGAAGTTTAAAGCAAGGTGAACATGAAGCAACTTGGCAATAGATATTAATGGGTTTAGATTGTGACAATGTGTTCTTGTAGATATAGTTCAACATAAATTATACAGTGGGAATGGCTAGATGAGGCAACTTCATACCATACAATATACTATTCAACAGATCAAGAGAAGAACAAATCACAAGCACAAGTTCATTATGTTAGATTTATCATGGGTGAACTAAGACTATAATAATGTGTTCTTGAAGATAAGTTCAACACAAATTATATAGTGGGAAAAACTAGATGAGGCAACTTTGTGCCATACAATCTACTATTAAACAAATCAAGAGAAGAACAAATCACCAGTATAAGTTCATTATGTTAGATTTATCATGGGTGAACTAAGGCTAAGATAGTATTGTCATATACTTGAGGCAACAAAAGAAAACAAGGTGGCAAGTTTTGTTTAGACATCCACAAGATCAAGGCAAGAAGAGTTTTTTATAACCAGAGGGGATTAACAAAGTTTTTTTAAAGTCTATGAGATTTATGCAGAGCTATTAATTATTTATTTTATATCTGTTTTATGTTTTATTTTAGCCATCAATTAAAATTCAGAAACTAGATGTTTACTGTAAACCTTAAGCTTCAATATCAGTTCCAACTCCTTTCCACTTGTTTCCAGCCTGAAATTTTCTTATCCATAGCTATTGTTCCCTCTAAACTATGTCAACAAGGAATGTAACTTCATTCACCTCATTAAACCATTTCTAGCTAGCACTAATTCATCTTAATACAACACGGAGAGTTATTATTTGGAAGTCATAAAGAGATGCATTCTGTGTAGTGTATCTTTGGCATGTTTTAGAAGAGTTCCCCCACATTAGTGCCATACTAACTTAATGGACATATTTCCATCTTGATGTAGCATCTTGTGAGGTTCTAAACTGGGTAACAATATGACTAAAGCAATATCTATCGTATAAATGACTTCAAAGAATAGCCATAATACACGTAACTAAGTAAAGTGCTTATCATAGTTTCTGCATTATTGCAGCATGTAGACAACTAGTATTAGTGCAACAATGGTATTATATATACTTTTGTTCATCCAATTATATTCCCAAGCTATTGGCATGACATAGAGTTGGCAACTAGCATTTTAGAGATCACAAAAGAAGTCAAACACCAACCAACCCAAGTGCAAAGTCAACTTAACCTGACAAGGTAAAAAAACCTAGAGAGATCTTATCATATACTTATTTGAAGTTCAATCATTATTTTGATTATAAACAAAAAGTTTAAATCATAAATGAGATTGCATGGAGCCAAATACCTGAACATTAACATAGTGCAAGCCTGCAATAAGGAGTGGAAAGATGAAGGCCAAACCACCATGAGGAAATTCAGTCAAATTTTGAAACCACAGAGTACCACCCTGTAATTAACAAACAAAGAATTTCACAACAAATTTATTACATGGACCGGGTAATTACAATGCAGTTACCAGCTTTAATGCATACTTCATGATTAAAGATCCATACAGCACCACAAATATACAAAACAAGGATAAAAATCATGCTAGTACTAGGGAAAAAAAAGAAACGACAAATAAACATAAAACCAAAACAAATTGAAGTATGAAATAATTCAAACCTTATTTAGAGCAAGCTTTCTCCACTGATTGAAAATTCTAACTTTAATTTGATGAAAAATATTTTGAGAGCCCATGAGTGATGAATTTACTTCATATGCAAGGAAAAAATCAAGACAAAGTCCAACAATAATTAATTGGTAGAAAATTGACCATCTGAAAAATGTATTGCTACTGCACCATTATGAGGAAAGGAATGGATGTGAAAAAAATGGGAATGAACATTATAAATGTGAGAGCATATAAATAAATATATGTCCCACACTCCCACCACAACAAAAGCAGAGAGTTAATGTTATAACTACGCGGGCAGAAAAAAAAAATCGTTGTCAAAATGATGTGCTTACAGAAGAAGATCTTGGAAGGAGAAATCATAAACAACTCTTCCTGCAACACTTTGCATGAACTTGTGATGCACCGACAGAATAACTCATACTTTTTTTTAATAATTTCACAATGACCTTTTCTAACAAACTAGTTTATACATCCACTTTGATCACATCATTATGGTAGATTTGTTGGACAAACTATGGATACCGCACCATAAAATTCATTCCTTTTTTTCTTAAGTGTTAATTGAGATTTCATCAATTCCATTTTTGTTTCCTCTTAAGTAACATTACAGCAAAACAAGATAGAAAAGTTATAATATATAGAACCAATAGTCCAACATTGACTTCACAATTGAGTTAACAAACCACAGTCCAGCACACATCTGATACCCTTACTATAAATAATAATGTTCATCAACATCCATGTAAAATAATAAACTATCTACGAAAGTCATTTCCTTACACAATCAAACCCAGGATGATTATTCAAAGACATTCTTCGAATACTGGTCATCCACAAGAGAAAGCAAGGGCACTGCAGATAAATTGAGAGAAAAGGCAAAATTAATAACTAGAAAACAATTCACCTAACTATGCATTCTTAATTCTACCATAATTTAAATTTAGTGGAAAAATTGGGGGCGGGAGGGTGTCATAAATTATTGAACAAAAAAAACACGTAACAAGTTATTCAAGCATTTCATCAAAATTTCTCATTTCCTAAGATTGACTATGTACTGGTCCTTGAGAAACCCAATACGTCCAAAAAGACAAAGTTGCTTAACCTGTACAGAAAGGTATGCGAGAAACCATGAAAATGGGGGGCAGCAAATCGCTCGTCTTTCCTTTCTAAAAATTGTAATTTGTTCCCAATAGCTCCTTCCTGATAGAGGTGGTGGCAATAGAGGAGGCACTATGAGAAATGAATATCGCAGGTTAAGCCTCTGATACTAAAATTAATACTACACTACTACTTGGGAGTATATCAAGAGAAAACAAGAATCCATACATTTAGGAAAACACAGTGAGATTTGCTTTATCTTGTACATTTGCAAAACGAGTAAAGGAAACAACGTCATTCTCATTACCAATGTTGATGAAGCAATGATTATCCACCTGCAAAATTAATCACAGATTCTTCTTTCTTAAAAGATCAAATTAAACAAAAAATTCAGCTGAGTGAAATAAACCGAGTTACCAAGGGAGGCCAGTGAGATCATGACACGACTGAAGCAACGCACCAACCGGAAAAATCGACTCTTCAAAAACATTACTACCATTAACCACTCCCTCCGTTACAGGATCGAGTTCAAAATTGATAGGTTCTGACGCGGTAGGTGACTCAGAAGCCAAAAAATCGGAGTTGTCATCTGTACGAGTCGAGAAGGATTGACAGGAGGGGAAATGAAAAGAGGCGAGTGAGTTGCAAGATGGTATTGCTGGTTGTGAAGTGAGCGAATTATAGTGAGGGTTAGGATTAGGGTTTGCGAGGAGACGAGAGAGATTGGAGAGTGGACGAGAACGACGGAGGGCGGAGAGCATAAGATTGGAAGCTGTCATTATTTCCGCCCGAAGCAGAGAGGTTAGAAGGACCCCTGATTTTTAATTTAAAATGAAAAATGAGAAAATGGGAACTTTTTAGGGTTCATCACACACCATCCGTGCTTAACGGATTTGATTAATTCACTCTCTCTACTTTAAAATTAATTAATTGAATCGCTATGCAACCTTTTAATCTTTCCTTAATGAAATTATTGCCAACTCAAAATATATATATATATATCTAATAATAAAAAGATTCACGAAACTTATGTCATGGACGGATGAAGATCAATTAAAAATTATTTTAATTAAAAAAAATAGATATTTAACATTTTATTTTTAAAAAAAAAATATCTCGTTTAAGGAATTGTCACCTAATATTATAGTTAATAGAAATCCTAACTAGTCAATAAATATTCTATGAAACAAGACTGGTTATATAAAAAAGAAGATATTATCACCCTTTAAGTATCCTACTTAAGATAGGTTCCATTACTAATTTTGTCTAAAATTACTAAGAATTTGTTTTTTTTTTCTTTTTTTTATTCTTTCTTTCATATTCCTAACATCAATGAACAATTACTACGAATATTTCTAACTCTAGCGTTGGTAAATATCGCACAAATTCAAAAATACGATACTCTTGACTCTAGCATCAGTGAATATTTTTTAAAAAAATGAATTTGAAAAAGAAATTTTTTATGTTATCTTTTTTTTGTTTATCCCTTATTATTATTTACCCATTTTAAAAGAAAGAAAGAAAAAAACATTGCATGACAGATTTGCATTTAACAATAATAGGCCATAGATTAAGCACATAACTAAAAAAAATACAAAATGCAAAGAAAAAAATAGATCAAAATGCGAGGGGCCCACAAATAAATTAACAAAGATCATCAAATATTTTTAAAATTTTCTAATATCGAAAAAGGGTTCATTTTGCTAAATATTAAACTAACATAGACATAAAAATTATGGTCAAGACATAAGGGTGTGTTTTGCTAAACACAACATTACCAAACACATTTTTGGCCAATGATTAGTACTTAAAAGTGTATCTCTTTATTCATCCCATTAAAAAAACCTAGTCATAGTAGCTTCCCTATCTTCAACTATATTAGCCTTAATCATTGCAATCTCTTTCTTCTTTTAGTAATCTTCCACATTTTTTAAACCCTGATGTAAACTCTTTAATTTTTTAAAAAGCTCTCTATAACTGTAACATCTATAACATCCCTTTATCAAGGATAAAACACCCATCACATATCTAATGGAAAACAGGATAATTTGTTTTCTATACAGTTTTCATATATTAGTCTAGAAATTTTGGTAAAGTCTTTTTTATATCGGGAGGTCCAAAATTATTGACATTTAACTTGTTTACACTTCTAAACTCTAATATCTTATAACTCCATCAAAACTCAATCGTCCTAGGGCTTAATCCCATAAACATAATCATCATCCATAACCATAATATTTATAACATACATTGAATATTAAATATCATTATAAAGGGGAAAAAAAACAAGATAAACATGCATACATAGAGCATGATTATATGAATTTCAGAGTTAAGTTTATTTATTCAAGTTTAAACATTAATTATACAAAATAAGTTATATAAATATTTTAATATTACAAAATACAACGATATACTCTCTAGAATTAGATACAAAAAGTGAACAAAAGTTAGAATCTACTAGTGTTATGCATGTGATGGTTCTTAAACAAAACATATATTATTGAGACATAAATATCATGATAAATATAGTAACAAAAAAATTCAAAAATTTTAAAAGGCAAACGTATATTCATGTTCTATTCACTTCCTTTCTTTTCTTTTTTTCCCAATGGAACTCTTTCTCATTCAACTACTAAAAACTGTTTTATCTTCCATTTTGAACTTTCATTCAAGATTCCATAAAAGCAACCATAATCATTTTTGCCTAACACACTGCCGATACTAATTCCATCGATATTATCATCACCTCAATGGTGTTGATTCATAATGATCCCCTTATCTAGGATCCTAACATACATTAAATTTATAATAGCCGATACATGATGATCCCCTTACTAGGGATCCTAATATACACTAAATGTATGATAGTCCATGCCCTTTTAGGCATCGATGCATGGTGATCCCTTTATCTAGGATCCTAACATACACTAAATGTATACTAATTCATGCTCCTTAAGCATCGATATATACACTAAATATATGCCCCATATCACACTTCCTCATATTTTTTATGTCAATGATACTTCCATCACATGGTAAATCACATGCAATACTATTTATCTTGAACACATATACATTCAAAACACTATCCGAAATAACAATATTATTACGCAAACTTTCATTCAAGGTTGTTAAAAACACACTTTTAACTCAGCACGGAAAAGAGGTAATAAACTCGGATCATAAAATCATACAGAATTTTAAAATATATTAAAAAAATTCATGCTTCAAATAAAAATTCATATATAGTTTCAAGCACCTTAAAGTACATGCCCCAAATAAAAATTCATACATAATTTAAGTAACTTTTTATTAACTAATAATTAATAAAGTTAAAATAAATAATCTACTAGTGTATCATGTAAGCTAAAACCAGTTCAAGACAATATAAAAAGCTAAACACAAATTTAAGAAAATAAAACATGGCACACCCACTATTGGGAAATGCTATATGGGCTTATTGTCTGATATAATATTTGTTGTCTTGTTCACTTCATTGAGACCTCTTTGACTTTCTTTTCTCAATTTAGATGAAAACAAATAAGGACACAGCAAAGAAGACACTAAAGCAAATTGAGCAAATATCCATTGTCATATGGTGGCCGGTGATTGATTCCACTTGAAACAAATTTGTGGTTTTGTGTGCATTTGTTGTTTGCACACAAGTCACCTCGTTCTCATCGGTGTTATAGGCATAGGCATGTGTAAGTGACCATGCATTTACCAACCAATAGGCACCAAACAGTTGTAGCATGGAGCGAAATATTTACTTTTATTTTGGTGAAATCATTTAATCGATCTTGAAATCGCAACCCAATTTTAACGATTTCACCAATTTTTTATTTTTGCAAACGATTCAGCATATAAAGCATGTTTTGACTCGTAAAATCATATGATTTTACGAGTCAAAATGTGATTTTAACAACCACGCTTGCATTCTTTCATACAATATCCAACATTCATCAATTCACAATTCATATCGATAACATATGAATAGGTGCAGATCACCTACTTGTAATAGAAACTTTACTCGTGCTTCCCTGTTGTTGTTGCACCCCACTTGTGGTCCCTCTTGTAATCACAAACATATCTCATAAATTATGATAATTCAAGGATACATTTTAAAATAACCACATTAACAGCCAATATAGGTATTTATTTCAACTATTTATTTCTTCATATTTTATATTTTTCTTATTTCATTTATTAATATCATCATTCTATGTCTAGCTAGTTATCATCACAAGTTTTCATTTTAAACATGGCTCGTTTCTTTTGAAAGTTAAGATGTAATATCACATGTTTCCCCAAAGGAAAAGGACCCAATTTTAACCCTTAACACATCTAGATAGTCTTTTTAATGACTTTTTGAATCTGCCAACAAAGGTCATTGACACGACTAAAAGATTGATGTCTTCTCCCAAGTGCAGGAGTGTCGAAGTAATAAATAACCTGGCAAGACCGGGGTTGAACCACCAGGAGGTTAATTGTACAAATTATAAACAACAACAATAGTAACAATAACAACAAATTAGTAGTAGTAATAGTAATAATAATAAGAAAAAAAAAGAAGGAGAAGAAGAAGAAGATGATGAGAACTTTGAGATGGAATATTAATGTAACGATTAAAAAATGATAATAACAAATGTCAAGGTTAGAGGTTCCACTAATGGTATATCAAACAAGTATAGTATAAACTCTTATTATTTAATTGGAAACTGCTTGACCGCTTTTTATGATTGGCTTGTTTTAACTTGCAAGTGCACGAGTGTGCAATGTAGCAATTAACTCGGTAAGATCGAGGTCATATCCATAGAGAGCTAGATCTGGAAATCAAGCTAGGTAACAAAAAAACCTCAAGAGAAATTAAATTAACAATAACTTGGTTGAAAATAATTGATGGATTTGTTTTCAAAGATGAAAAAGTGTAAATAGATTTTAAATGACAAGAAAAAGTAAGGCTTGGTCCAAATCAATTCTAATGGTGATGTATTGGTGATTTCTTCAACATATATAAGATAACTCAACCTAATCTCAACGATGGTGATATTAGATCGGAAGATATTACAATGAAGATTAGAAAGATGAAGATTGATTATTACTTAAGAAAATATATTACAATGAAGTTTAGAAAGATGAAGATTGATTATTGCTTAAGAATGAACAAGTACTTTCATATTAAGTAAGACATTGAATCAAGCAATCTCTATACCAAAACTAAAGTTTGTGCATAAAAATTCAAGATTACAACATTACCTAAATGATTTCTAAAATTTATTTGCAATAATAAATCATTCATGAAGAAAATAAGAAGATAAACATTAAGATTTATTCATATCCTAAAGAACTCACCTCAATCACCATCATTCTTGATTTGGATCCAAGAAAGAGATTAGCCAACCATGATTATATATAAGAAAACTTCAATAAATATGAAATAACTTGAATCAAAATGAAATAATAAGTTTTACAAACTAAAGAACCGAAATCTATAAAGAAGAACACAACACAATTTCAGAAAAAATTCGGATACAAATCTGACTCTAACTTTGGACAGAAATTTGACCCTCTTAGAAGCTTCTACTCGATATGTCTATTAGATACATATTTATAGGAACTTATGTCACATTTCTAGATCATTAAAGAACATCTCATTTGGACACCTGAGTCAAAAGTTATGGGCAAAACACTGAAAGGTGTTCTGAAAAATCAAATCAGGACAGCTTTGCAACCACTTTGGTGCACGTTTTTCTTCCTCATTTATGAGCTATCTCTTTCTTCTTTTTAACCCAAAATAATGTAAAAATATCCCCTCCAGCTTTCCATCCATGTGCTTGCCTTCTTGGATCAATGGATTACCCAAAATAAATCAATTGTTGTTGTGTGGACATGTAAGATCATGGATTGTGTT